CTAGCCTATTATTCTTCCAACTCTTTTCCAAAAAATGAAAGACGTATAATGCTAGATGGGTCAATCTAGCGGATGCGACCGACGCAATACCTCGCTAGAGCTTGTTAGATCCTACCCTTGACGGAACATTCCCAAGGCTTGGGAGATCGATGCCTCCAATGTTGCAACACGTCTCGATCTCGCTGATGGTGGGATCATCGAGTATGTGGCCACCGAGCTCGTGATTAGTACATCAAGCCAAGGACGGTGTCTTCAACTATTTTCAAACAGGTCCCTCAATCTGGCTTTGATTCTCTAACTGTAGCCTGAAGGAAGGGTATCGTCTTTATGTGGTATCCTTTACTTTTTTTTTACGAGACAATGATCGGTACATTTATAATATACGCTTGCCTCGCAAAGAATGAAAACCTTCAAGTGCTACGGACAATTTTGCGGTGGACATCCATGTCTGCCCGCTGAGGGAGATGCTCAGTTGCCCCCGCTTTTTCTCCCACCTCTCTTTCTTTTTAGCCTCTTCCCTGTAACAGGGATCTCAACCACAAGGCAGATGTCTCCAGAGGCGTATCGAAGCGACACCTCGTCTCCGTATCCGCATGTGATGTACTGTGACATGATATGAGTGAAGCTTGTCAGCCTTGGTGTAACCCAGTGAATCCTCTTGGATGGGATTATGCCTCCGTAGCAATCAGTTGCATCAGTATCCTCATCCGTCTCGCGGAGAACCACCGCACTTGGAGACCCAGGAAGGGCTTCTCTGAGAGTTGGAATGCAGTTGGTTTGATCTTCCGGAAATGAATCTACGCTGTCCAGCATAACTAGAAAAGCTGAGCAATCCTCTTCGACTTCGTAAAGGATCTTAAGCTTGGGAGAAAGACCAAGCTGCTCCAAAACCCGTTTTATAACAGCGTCCCTTCCTTTCAAGGATTTAATCACCTTGCGAAGGCTATAAGACTCATTGTTGTTGATGGTGACGGGGTATATATAGCGGAGACCGAAGCCAAGATAGCCGCCGTCTGGCAGGAATTCAGCATTGTCAAGTAAGGCGGAGAGGCATTTATGAAGAGCCTCTCCTTCATCGATACCTTTCTGAGGGGTGGCAGATATGTCGCTATCGTCGAAATATAGGTTGTAGGTTATTGTAACACAATAGCCGGAATTAACCACAGTGATTTCACGTTCAGCATCAGAGTCGAGCGCAATGAAGGCAATTGAGGGTTTCTTTTGAGCGGCGGTGATTGCTGTGGGATCAAAGGACCATTCTTCGCCCTCATGACGGATGTGGACTACACCGCCTTCATGGCGAGTGGGAAAAAATACGACGAGAGATCCGAACATCCCATCGGTAGGCACACCTTTGTGCGCCTCGACAGAAAATCCAGGACCTGGATAAAAAGAGAATGAGTCAGCAGCGTAGTGCCAACCTCAAGCCAACCTCAAATTTTACTGACCATAAACATTTAACTGGAACAATTCCGGTTGTAATTTTTCTGGAGTACTGTTGCAGAGATTGATGAGCTCATTGCTCACATACTCTATGACCCCAGCATCAACGAGTCTGGCATCGAGGTGGGTTGAAATATTAGAATTGTCCATGTTCCACGCGTTTGGAGATGAGCCGTTGAAAACAGGAGCTTGCTCGCAGGATTCTAACAACTCTTGAAGCTTTGTATCGTTAGGGTCAGCAAGATTGACCCATCTAAGAGCAAAGCATGAAAAAAAGTTTCCTGGATATCGGAGTGGGCTCACCCTGCAGCGTCGCCTTTGCGGAAGAAAAGAAGTCCCGCGTCTTTAGTGAGCGAACAAGTTCCAATGCAAAAAGGCCTTTCCTTCAAGATAACATTTTTGACAGCAGTAATGCGGTCACTGAGAGTCATTGACATCTTTGAAAAGGAAAGGAGCGAGCGTTCAACCCAAGTTCAACTTGAGTTCAACAAGCGTTGTGTTGAGATGTGTTCGGATCATATTTCGGATCAGAGTCAAACTCGAAAGGGTCCATGTTATTCAACACCGACCAAAGCAAATAAAGTGCCGCACAGAGGCCGCAGAAAAACAAGAGATCACTTACAACTGGCTTCAGAACGATAGGCGTGTTCGATCAATAATTGTTTAATTGTGATGTAAACTCCGAAAGTTTCCCTTACATTCAAAATAACAGTGTCGCTTCCCTTCAAGAGTCAATGAGATATTGGAGTCTACCCTAATAATCTCTTTTGTTTAATAATAAATGATTGTATAATGTTAGATGGGTCGATCTAGCGGACGCGAGTGACGCAATACCGCACTAGAGCTTGTAGACGCTTGCGACCCAGATCCTGCCCTTGACGGGACATTTCCGAAGGCTCGGAAGATGGATGCCTTGCAACACGTCTCGATCTCGCCGATGGTACAACAAGCCAAGGACGGTGTCTTCAACTAGTCTCAAACAGGCCCCTCAATCTGGCTTTGATTTTCCAGCTCTTACATAGCCTGAAGGAATAATATCACCTTTATGTGGTATCCATTTTTTTACGAGACAATGATCGGTACATTTTGAGGAGTTCGATATACAGTCGGCCACGCTAGTCTCGCAAAAATTGAAATTTTACTTTCAAGAACTACGAAAAGCATTTTCAAGAGAGGATATCATAATTTCATGAGACGTCAAGTGCGCCGGACAATTTTGCTCATCCATGTCTGCCCGCCGAGGGGGTTGCTCAACTATCCTCGCTCTTTCTCCCACCTCTCTTTCCTTTTAGTCTCTTCCCTGTAACAGGGATCTCAACCACAAGACAAATGTCTCCATAGGCATATTGAAGCGATGCCTCATTTCCATATGTGACGTACTGGGACGTGATACGACTGAAGCTTGTCAGTGGTGTAACCCAGTGAATCTCCTCGGATAGGATTATGGTTCCGTACTCAGAAAGGGCTTCTTTGAGAGACATGTCGCTTTGCTCTTCCGGGAATGAAGCTTCGCTGTCCAGCATGACTTGAAGAGGTGAACAATCATCATCGTCATCTTCGACTTCGTAAATGATCTTGAGCTCGGGAGACAGATCAAGCTGATCCAAAACCCGTTTTATAACAGCGTCGCTTCCTTTCAGAGAGTTAATCACCTCGAAAAGGCTATAAGACGTAGAGTTGGTGGTTATGGGGTACATATAGCGAAGACCGAAGCCAAGATAGCCGCCATCTGGCAGGAGTTCAGTGTTGTCAAGTAAGGTGGAGAGGCATTTATGAAGAGCCTCTCCTTCATCGACACCTATCTGAGGGGTGGCAGATGTGTCGCTACCGTCGAAATATAGGTTGTAGGTTATTGTGACACAATAGCCGGAATTAACCACCGTAATTTCACGTTCAGCATCAGATTTAAGCGCAATGAAGGCAATTGAGGGACTTTCTTGAGCGGCGGTGATTGCTGCGGGATCAAAGGACCATTCCTTGCCCTTATGACGGATGTGGACTACACCACCTTCATGGCGAGTGGGAAAAAATACGACGAGAGATCCGAACATCCCGTTGCTGGGCACGCCTTTGTGCGCCTCGACAGAAGATCCAGG